AGGACTTGAACTACAACCTGACTTCCTGGGTCTCCAGCTTGTAAACTTCTCAATCTCCGTAATCATGTGTGCCAACTCCTTACAATAAATTTCTCTATATTATATACACTTCCCATTGGTTCTGTGTCTCTGGCCAACCCTAATCAAGGACTAATCATTTTTTGTTCTGTATTTTGTGGTCAGCATGTATGCATTTTAACTTTCCTGAACCTGAACCTGTCCATCCTTGCATTGGTTCATGGCCAATTCCTTCTGCTGCTTCTGTTGCCCAAAAATCCTTTTTCTTTCCAAATGGGTTTGTGTAGCCTTGTTTTAGTGAGATTAGATAGGTACATATGTATACACACATATATATGACACTAAATTTAACTCAAAAATTACTACTTTCGCTTGATGTAAGTTATCACTCTAAGCCTTAGACTCTGAACTTACTTTCTTGTCTTGATAGTAACCTTCCCCCAAAACACACATTGAATGATTTTATCTCTCATTGTTTGTAGTAAATTAAATATATATTGATTTGGGGAATCTCTATTTGCCTCCCAGACCTGATTTTTGGTTAGCCCATTTTTGATAAATACTGTTTCCTGGGGCACCTGGGTGGCTCAGTCGTTAAGCAGCTGCCTTCGGCTCAGGTCATGATCCCAGGGTCCTGGGACTGAGCCCCACATCAGACTCCCTGCTCCTTGGAGAGCCTGCTTCTCTCTCTCCTACTCGCCCTGCTTGTGTTCCCTCTCTTGCTGTGTCTCTGTCAAATAAATAAATAAAAAGTCTTTTAAAAAATACTATTTTCTAATAATGAACTTAAATATATGGTATAGCCAGGATTATCTTTATTACAAAAGTATTCTTTTTTTCTGCACTTATTTTAGTTATTTTGTCAATTTTGATAAAGTAACTCATTGAAATTATAAATGATATTGCTTAAATCTATACATTAACTTGAATATTATTTTAATCTTCACTATTTCAGCTCTCTAGTCAGAAGAAGAGTATAACTCTCCATTTTTCACAAAAAGTCATGATTACAGACTTATGAGAGTTCAGATGTCATTTAATTTCTAGTTCTAGACCATCCCACTCTGTACTTACCCCATTTTACAGAAAATCAAACCAAGCCCCCCAAACCTATATCTGGTTAGGGAATATCTGAAAATAGACCTCTCTCATTTGGCACTTCTTCTATCACACCATTTTGTCTTCATTCACTTCTTTTAATGCTTTAACGATGTTGGGGTCCCCCGGTGGCTTGGTTGATTGAGCATCCAACTCTTGATTTCAGGTCAGGTCATGATCTCAGGGTCATGAGATTGAGCCCTGGGATGGGCCCATGACAGGCCCATGACAGACCCATGACAGGCCAACATTGGGCTCCAAGCACAGTGGGGAGACAGCTTGAGATTCTTTCCCTCTGCCCCTCGCTCCACAGGTCTCTCTTTCTCTATCTCTCTCTCAAAAAAAAATAAATCTTAAAAACATAAAATGTTTACAGATGTTAGGCATATCCCCGTTGGTTCATTTCTAGGACTTTTTTAGATTGCCATAGAAAATAAGAACATTGATACTGAACTTCAGGTATGTGCTTTCTTCGGTGGGGAGAAAATGCACACAGCTTCTTCTAAAAAATTTTTTTTTGGTTGGGAAAAGCTAAATAGATTTTGAACTGATCTCCCATTTTTTGGGTCACTCTTATCTTTTTAAGGATTTTATTATGAACAGTAGTTTCTTATGTACTACAGTCTGCAGGGAAGTATGTTAGATACACAAAGAGATAAAGTTACAGAATCTTGCCTTTCTGAGAGATTCTCACAATCAAATTCCAAACACTAGATATAGAGTATCAGTTTCAAACAAGAGAAAACTCCAAATAACAGTGCTTTAAAGAAAATACAGACTAGTCCACGTAATGAGAAATCTGAAGGTAGGCAATCCATTACATTGGTTACACAGTGTCATTAGAGACCCAGGCCAACTTCCTGACTTCTACTTTGATATCAGGGTGTGGGGCTCACGATCATGTATATCTGATGACTGCTAGTGCTCTAGCCATTGTGACTAATGTCCAGGGCCAAGAAAGAGCAATAGGCCAGTAACTAAGTAAGTCAGATCTTCCTTAACTTGTTTTCCTGGAAGCTTCTAGGTGATGTCTGCTTTTGTCATTGTCCAGAACTGTCTCAAATGACCATCACTAGCCACAAGGGAGCTGGTAGGTAGGTGAAACATGTTTAGCTAGCCACACTGTTACCCTCAATAAACTCAAAGCTCTCTTTGTAAATAAAGACAGGAGAATGGATATTGACGAGGCAGCTTACAGTCTCTATCACTCAGCATTGCAATAAAACATAAACAAGGGTTTTCTTTAGACCAAGACCAGTTGTTAATCAGAGATTGGCACATGGTCTTCATGGTTAAGTTGGACTTAGACAAATGGTGGTGGGCAATAGTTTAGGGATAAGGAAATTGACTATTTGGCCAAGATCATACATCTTATAAGATACCCTGAGTTGGGTCTTAGGCCAGACTCCATGGTTTTTCACAATGTCACAAGGTTAAATTTTTTTCTGGGGAATAAAGTTATTTATTGGGATTGGGAGAGATAAAGATGAGTGGGATACACTTCTGCTACTTCTTGATAGTTTTTAAAATCCAAAATTTAGGGGGACTCTACAAACTCTTCAACCAAGTAGCAGTGTGATCAAGGACAAGCCACTTAATCTGACTGGATCTGAATCAAATACGAAACCAGTCAGACATTACAAGAAAAGAATGCTACAGACTGCAATCCCTCATGAACCTGGATGCAAAAAATCTAACAAAATTTCTAATAAAATTAGAAGAATAAAAAATTTTAAAAGTGCAATCTAACTATATGTTCTGATCTAGCATACATATACATGTGTGTTTAGCTCTATGTCTTTATAAATCCTGGATTCATTCTTTTATTTATTTTTTATAACTTTTGAAGATCTGCCTAGGAGGTTCTCAATAGTGAGCTAAACACTATACATTGTTGAAGAAGAATGAGCAAGGTTGTAGCTTGCAGTATTGGGCTAGGGAAAATTAAAAAAAAACAAAACCCTTCAAGTACGTTTGTCTGGCTTCTTGGTTTTGCCACCATTTCTGAACTGAAATTGTGCAGCAAAAGCTAAAAAAAGATGCATAACTTTATTGGAAGCCTCATCTATCAAAATTCAAAAGAGGGGAAGGGGAAGTGGCAGGAGTGATCTCAGAGGCAGATACAAAAAGCTGTTACATTCAGAGTAAAGCACACATTAAACAGAACATCCAAATTCTGCAGGTATAAACTGGAGCATGGGAGATGCTTGGTGCCGAGTGTCCCTTCCAGAAGAGATGTTGTACCTTTCAAGTGGAAAGTGTAAGAAGTAGGAATTTTTGGCACTGGGAGAGGGCTGTGTGTGTGTGTGTGTGTGTGTGTGTGTGTGTGTGTGTTTATCTAGATCTGTATCAAGAGGGCACCTTGGTAGCTCAATGGGTTGAGCCTCTGTCTTCAGCTCAGGTCATGATCTCAGGGTCCTGGGATCGAGCCCCGCATCGGGCTTTCTGCTCAGCGGGGAGCCTACATCCCCCCCCCCACCACCCCTCCTCTCTGCCCACTTGTGATCTATGTCTGTCAAATAAATAAATAAAATCTTTAAAGGGGCACCTGGGTGGCTCAGTGGGTTAAAGCCTCTGCCTTCGGCTCCGGTCATGATCTCAGGGTCCTGGGATCGAGCCCCGCACCGGGCTTTCTGCTCAGCAGGGAGCCTTCTTCCTCCTCTCTCTCTCTCTCTGCCTGCCTCTCTGCCTACCTGAATCTCTGCTGTCGAATAAATAAATAAAATATTTTAAAAAAAATAAAAAAGTAAAAATAAATTAAAAAAGAAAGAAAGAAAGAAAATCTCAAGAACATCCTTCTGACTTCTCTTCTTGTCTTCTGCTTGGTGACACTTTCATTTATCTCTGTAAAAAAATAGTGTTGCCCTGGCTTTGGGAAGCCACACTTCTGATCCTGATTCCTGCATACTGGTTGGTTGTGTGATGTTGATAAACCACTAGCTACACTGACCCCATCTCCCCATGAACCACATAAAGTAGGTGAGCAAATGATCTTGCAGGTACCTTCTAGCTCTAAACAAAATGTATGGCTCAGGTAAGTGATCTCTGCCACTCCAATCCCAAGCACACAGCATGCTTAAGGTAATCCCACTATTTTAATATGAATTCTACACATACAACTTTAGGACATGGCATGCAAACACTGGAAAAATTACACCACCGGAATCATCCAAAATGAGGTTGATTACTTAACATTGCAGAGCTGTGACATCTTTGATAATACTATTTACCCAAGAGAAAAGGAAGCACATATGCATACAAAGATTTGTACAGGAATGTTCCTAGTAGCTTTATTTCTAATAAGGGAAAGTTGGAAATAATGTCGATCAATAGATGACTAGATACATACATTTGGTATATCCATAAATGGAATACTACTCAGCATGAACAAAGATTCCGTTTATATGTACCTCAAGAAAATGCAAAAATAATCTATAGTTCTACAATACATACAATTCTACCAACTGCTAACAAAGTAAAACAGATCAGTGTTTGGGCTGGGGCGGGGGGTGGGAAATGGAGTGGGGGGGGTGGTGGAGGGATGGGCGGAGGGAGAAGCCTGGGGAGGTGGTAGGCACGCCAGAGCACGCAGGTGGACAAGGGAGAGGGGCTAGGGAGGGTCAAGGGGAGGCCCGTAGGGGTAGGCGCGGGAAAGGGGTAGGAGGAGCTGGGTAGTGGCAGGACTTGGGAGAGGGGAGGCAGGGATCCTAGAAGCAGTGGGAGGAGAGAAGCAGGAAGAGAAGCAAGGGTAGGCGGGGCGCGCGGGGAGGTAGGCGGGGCGCGCGGGGAGGTAGGCGGGGCGCGCGGGGAGGGAGGCGGGGCGCGCGGGGAGGGAGGCGGGGCGCGCGGGTACGGCGTGCGTCCGCTCTGCGGGGCTCCCACGCGCGGCGTCATGGCGTTCTTGCTCCGTGTGCTCTGGGGTTTGCCCTTTCGAGGGGCGCCCCTGCGGGCCGTGAGGGGCCTAGCCGGCACTGGTGGCTCGGGGGCCGATCCCGAGGACCCAGGTAGGACGCAGACCGCGCAAGCCCCTCCGCCGCCTCCTGGCTTTCGATTTTACTTCACCTGTCTGGACTAAGGGGCCCGAGCGCTGGTTCCGCACCTGGCGCTTCCTTCTCTAGAAACTTCTTGGTGCGCCCGTGCCCGCCCCTCCTTGCCGTCCAGGACGGTGGGTTGTACATTTTGAGGGGTGTGGGTGGTTGTCACTGACTTCCATCCCCTGTAAAAATGTCGGGCTCAGGAGCCCCTGGTGTTTATACCCGGACTCCAGGCGAACAATCGCGGTGGTTAGGGCAGCGACCCGACACCGTGCGCTCCCTCCTGTAATGGCCCGTGGTCTCTTAACACTGTATTCCTCTTAAATTCTGCGTGCTTCTTTTCCCGGGTGAGAAGCAAGCAGTTCAGGGTTTGGATTCCTGTTGATTTGCTTCCTGCCCTTACGTTTCTATGGGTGTGTCCCGGCCCTAGGGAGACGTGTGGACTATTAACTGATAGTCTTAACGTAACTGATAGTCTTTGTTCGTCAATGGCTGAGACAGGGAAAAGTGTGTGTGTGTTTCTTCGAAATGCCTTTGGCTCCTATGTGGATTACATTTGCGTTTCACCTTTTAGTATGGAGTCGCCTGTGGACACCTGTATCAATGGCACTATGTTTCAGATACATTTCAGGATAATTTAGTGTTCCCTGTGCATTGGCTTCATGGGCAACTGCCCAGCTGTCCCATCTCTGAATCTGATTGTTATGTGTCCATTGAAGAAATTTAAAGATACCTATCTTCTCTGAAAATGTATCCAGTCAACTTAGAATTCTTTTCATCCCCTGAAGTTTTCAAAATGTAGTTTTAAATAAATAAAAGCACAGACAGTGTGTAGGAGTGGCTGATCCAACATAACTTCCAGTCATGGCCTTCAGCACCTCTTGGTGTCCTAGCCAGCCAACCTGATGATATTTGTTGCATACCTACTGTGTGTCTAGCATTGTTTTGTTTTGTTTCTGAGAACCACAGGCAAAGGAAACATCATACTTGTGGGCTGGAGCTCTCCTCATTCGCCTTTATAGGACAGTGGTTTCAGTGGAAGCTTGTCCTTTATGTTTGTACTGGTGTTGTCAGAAAAATCCTAATGAATTGCCTTAGGAACTTAAGTTCTTCAGCAGCATTTAAAATTCGGCCAGACTCTAATACATAACAGGAGCTGTATAACTTATCAGACACCCCCTCCCGGGAGGGTGTCTCCCTTCCTTATTCTAAGGAAATAATTCAAAAGAACAAAGCTATGTGTACAAAGATGTTTTTAACAGCACCACTCTTAAGAACCAGAAACTGTCTATAACCCAAATGTCTATCAGTTAAGGAATGCTTGAGTAAACCAGAAAAGTTCAATTCAGCAAACCATTAGGCACCCATTAAAAATTATAGATAGGTAATAGTTTGGTGGCTAAGGGCTTTGGTGTTGATAGTACCACTTCCTGGCTATATGTCTTTGGGCACGTCCTGAACTTGGTAAGCTTAAATCTGGTTTTTTTCTTCTATAGAATAAGGATAATGATAATAGTAGGGTTGTACAGAATACATGAAAAAAAATTAAAATGCTTCATCACAATGATTGGCATTTAGTAAGCACACAATAAATGTTAATTATAATTACATTAATAAATGGAAAGAACAAAAGTGTAGCTACATTTAGCCTATGTTATAGACTTAGGGAAGGTTGAGAGAGAAACGGGAAGATGTTGATAGTAATGGAGGACAGTTCTACAGCGCTAAGATTCCTGATATGCAAGAGGCATAACCTCTGTGATTTTGTTGTTGAGACTGACCAGAGCAAAGTCTCTCAGTTGAGACCGAAAGAGGAAAGTAAGTAAGAAGTATCGTGGAGAAAACTGTTGTTTCAGGAAAACACTCTAGAAATACTCTGCTAGGAAACCATCCTGAGCATTGCTTAAACCAGTTCAGTCATTGAGTTGGGAAAGAAAACTAGTCTGCAAATTAGAGTGGGCTGGGGATTCTCTCTGTACCAGTTGTAATAGATTCCCTTAGTCTCAGCAAGTATTTATTGAAACAAGGCTTGTTTGTTTGTGACATTTGGCAGTATAGCAGCTAGGTGACCATATGACCAAGAGAGGGTATTCTTTAAGATTTCTTGTATTTATTTGACAGAGAGAGAGATAGCGAGAGAGGGAATACAAGCAGGGGGAGTGAGAGAGGGAGAAGCAGGCTTCCCACTGAGCAGGGAGCCTGATGCAGGGCTTGATCCTGGGACCCTGGGATTGTGACCTGAGCTAAAGGCAGACACTTCTCCAAATGAGCCACCCAGGCGCCCCAAGAGGGTGTTCTTTAAAGATGAGAGAATATGTAAGCCCACCTCAGGAAATATATGACCAAGAAGACAGACAAACTATGCTAATCACAGCACAAAGAGAGAAAGGAACCCAGAAGAATCTGAATTTATCAAAACATAGTTCAAAGAAAAGCTGTATAGCTGTCCAGTACAATAGCGAGAGCAACCAAGTCTTTTCATAGTGAAGATAGCAAGAGGATACAGAGGGAATCTGGAGGACATCCTGCCCCAAAAGGACCAACTCAAGGTACAGGTGATGTGGGCTGAGGATGGAAAACACCCCAGTTGTACACAGAAGAATGCAAAGACCAATGCTGAGCGCTCTCTGGCTACTGGTGGCCAAGTGACCTTACTCACGTCTAAATTCTCACTTGTTGTATGTTGTATGTACAGGTACCAAATTGTTGATTGGTAAAACCATCAGAATTTACACATAATGCAATTTTCCTTCAGAATTTAGTTGTTTCCTAAAGCATAGTATGTTAGTCGGCTGGAACAGACACAACAAAATACCACAGGCTAAAAGGTTGAAACACAGACATTTTTTTCTTATCATTCTGGAGGCTGGAAGTTCAAGATCAAAGTACCAGCAGGGTTGGTTTCTCCTGCATTCTGTCTGGTTTGCAGTTGGCTGTTTCTCTGCTCATGCACCGCTAGAGTCTCTTCTTCTTCATATAAGGATACTGGTCAGATTGGGCCCATCCTTACACCCTCATGCTAACATAATCATCTCTTTAAAGGCCCCGTCTCCAAAATATAGCCATATAGATTAGGACCCACCCATGTGACCTCGTTTGACCTTACTTACCTCTCTAAAGGCCATGTCACCAAATATAGTTGCATTCTGAAGTACTGAGCATTGGGACTTCAACATATGAATTTTGGGAGGACGCAGTTCAACCCATAACACTGTGGTTACAGAACCCTCTGTAAATGCAGACCACATATACGCTGACCCGAGAGCCCCTAGCTGACCACAGGTCATTTTGCTATCAAGGCAGAGTTTCTCTTCTCTTGACAGAGTCTTCCAGGCTGGCAGATTTACAGTTAAATTTGCATAATTGGTGCTCCAAGAGCAACTAGTCTGGACATTGTTACCCACCTATGAAGCCTTTCATACACATCGTGTAAAAGGTACGTACTGATGAGGATTAGTGGAGCCATGAGAAATGTACTTTCTGATCTAAATGAAGGAGTGATTCTTCCATCTAACAATTTAAATATTAGTTTTAAATTTTAAGCTAAAAAAAAAGAGAAGGGTATCAAAAACTAGTCAGTCTAATACATGTAGTAAAATACAGAACAATTGGAAAGGGAGCTGGGGTTCATCTGGGACTCAGACTTTAGGTTAAAGCTGAAGTGTGGGAGTCCTGCTGAATTTCCCCCTTCTTGAATTCCCACTCTCTGCTGTCAACTATAGTACTGCATGTGGAAAGACACTAAGGACCAGGCTTCCAGGAGACAATCCTTTTTTTTTCTCTCTAATCCATTCTACTTTTTCCCCAAAAGGAGAAGGGAAGATAATAGCAGCTTTCCAGATTATAATTCCCAATCTTAGTACCAAGAGTCAGTTTTCCTCTTAGAAATCCGTAGAAATAATGCAAGATCTTTGCCAAAGCCAAGAGCAGCATGGCAGGACAGGCACTCGAAGGGTAAAGAAAGTGTTTTATCACGGTCCTCTGTTACTCCTTTTCCTTAACAGGTGTCACTGATAGCCAGGGTTCAGGTTACACACATTCCCTCAAGACCAGTTAGATTCTGGGAGGAGGAATCATATCCTATTTGCAAATCTTGCTCTTGCCTTCATTGTTTTTCCACTGTTTGAGGTGGCCTTTGTGTGACCAATCCCAGTTAGGTCATGCCGACACATTGGCACTGGCCACATTTTAGATCTTGCCCTTTGTCGAAGGCTTACAAAATATACACACATCTCTCTGTCTTTTAAACTTCCTAAAATGGAATGCCTTCCATTTCCCTTATGATTCAACACATAGTTACATCCATTAAAACAGTTCTAATCCTACTTGTCGTGGAGCCCAATGCAGGGCTTGATCTCACCACCCTGCAACTGAGACCCAGAGTCTGACCCACTGAGCCACCCAGGTGCCCCTCCCACTTGCTGTTAGAACAGTAAAAACACCTTTTCCTGATAAGCCAGCCAGAAAAGATTTCACAGTGTTTCCACCACTCAGTTGGTGGTTAAGCTGGCATTGCTTTGTAAAACTCTTTTATTGTTACCTTGAATAGTTATCTCAGACTTACACAGTCCATAAAATTTTTACAATTTAACTGGTCTCCCATATTTCATCTACCCAAGGTCAAGCTCAAGAACAGCTCCACAGCTCTCGCCTTTTTCTCCTAAATGATCAATTTATCCTCTTCTCGGGATCATTCCCAACAGCGTACTAGAATACTGTGAACTTTCTCATCCGAAAAAATGCTCTTGACCTCACTTCCCCTTCCAGCTACCTCCAGAACTCCTGAAAGGACTTACCTCTTTGCACTGTCTCCTTTTCTTCCTCCTATTCTATATCAAATCTATTGCAATCAGATTCATACACACATACACACACACACTCTCTCTCCTCCACCTAAACTGCTTTTTCAGGCCACTGCTGACCACTACATTGCTAAACCCAATAGCTACTTATTAGTCATCTTTGTCCAGGACACCACATTCTTGCAGTTTCCTTCCCACCTCTCTGTCTGCTTGTCCCCATCTCCTCAACCTGTGTATCTTGGAGTGTCTCCAAGTCCAGCCTGTGGGCCTCTTTGTTCTCTCAACAGTCACTGACTTGGGAATCTTCCAGGCTCATGGCTTTAAATAACACTTACGCCGAGGAGTCCCAGATTTACATTTCCACCTTGGACTTCTCCCCAGTTTCTAAATCTATATATCCAACTGCCTACTTGATATCTCCATTTGAATAATACTGATCCAAATATTGAATTTTGAAAATACTGAATTTTTATTAACAAGGCTCCAAACCTGTTCCTCCCATAGGCTTCCCCAGCTTTTACTGCTCAGACCAAGAAACTTGGAGTAGTGCCCCTTGACCGTGTTCTTTCTTGTACATCAGCAAATCCCCCAGCTCTGCTAGCAGAATACATCTGGTGTGTGACCCCTCTGACTACGGCCACCACCCTGACGTGGGACTCTTCCATCTCTCAACCATCTTATTAAAATGTCCTCTGTCCTGGGTGCCCTGCTGCAACCTTTGTCCTCCTTCAACTTCTTTTAGTGTATCAGCCAGTAATCCTTTTAAATACAGAAGGTCATGTCATTCCTCTGCTTGCCTTCCAATGACTTCTACACTCAGAGTAAAAGCGTAGCCTTCAAGACTCTCGTTGGTCTGCCCCCTTCCCATTAGCTTTCTGCTGTGAATTCTACTAACTTTCCTGCTCACTCCACCCATTCCCCCGGCTTTCCTGCTATTCACCAAACACGCCAAGCACCCCCAACTAGTTTTTTTCTCTTGCCTACATTCTCCTCTCCTAGGTATTCACATGGCATATTTTCTCATCTCAGTGTGACAGCACTGAACAGTTTGGGGCAGTGAGAAAAAAGAAGTGGTGCAAATAGGGGAGAGCATACAAATTAGGAGACTTTTGTGATCGTCAATACTGGAGAGAATAATGGTGGCCTGATCCATGGTAGTGTCAGAGGGGTGAGAAGGAGCAGATCCTGGAGTTACTTAGGAGGTAGAACCAACATGGCGTGGTGCAAGGAAAAGGGAAGAGTCTTGTGTTGATGGTCTGGCATTCTGGTTTGAAGCATGGGGTCAGTGAGCTAGAACACCTGAGAGGAGGGGCAGATTTGGGTTGGGGCAGGAGAGGTACACGAAGTCCTTCTGTGTGTGGTGTTTGAAATGGGACATCCTCGTTGAGATATCCAGGTATGTTTATAAATGGATCTGGAATTCTGCAGAGATCTAGAATGGAGGGTAAAAGAGATTAGGGAGTCTTATCATGTGGATGGTACTGTAAGCTACTCAATGGATAACATCACTCAAGGGGCAGGTGTGGTGTGGTGATAGAAGCAAGCCTAGGGCAATAGATTCATCTGAAGAACACCAGTGTTTGGAGATGGCTAGAGGGAGTGCGGCTGAGGGAGGATGCTGACAAGGAATAACAGGAGAGACAAGAGTATTGGGTGCCATGGAAGCCAAGGGAAATAAAAGCTACCACAGGAGAATTTCAAGTGTCAGTACTACAGAGAAATGAGAGAGAAGGACGCCGTGTTCTAGGTTTTACTGAGAAGTCCTCAGTGGGCTCTCTGAGAATGGCTGCAGTGCAGGGGTGCAGGACGGGGGGGGGTGCTTGTCTTCAGTGCGTCACACATGGAGGCACACGATGTTGGCTTGCCCGCTGTTGGTGATGCTAACGTGGCTTACTTGGTTAAGGTGATGACTTGTTCATTTTTCATTGTAAAGGTACCTTTTCTTCCTTTGCAATTAATATTTTGAAAACATGTAACTCTTCCATTCTTCAACAGTCTCCCACCCAGGGTTGTAGAATCCCCTAATGATTCTTACTTGTCTTAGTTATTATTTTAGTGATTATAAAGATTTTTTAAAAGGTTTATCATACCAGGCACCTGGGTAGCTCAGTAGGTTAAGCGTCTGCCTTTGGCTCAGGTCATGATCCCAGGGTCCTGAGATGGAGTCCCAAGTTGAGCTCTCTGCTTGGCGGGGAGCCTGCTTCTCCTGCACCCTCTGCCATTCCCCTCCCCCACCTTGTGCTCTCTGGCTCTCTCTTTCAAATAAATAAAACCTTCAAATAAAAATAAAAGATTTATCATTCCTTGTCCATTTATTACTTGGCATTCTGCCTGGTACCTCTGAAAGGGACTGAGCAGCAATAATTGTCACATAAATGCATTTTGCTTTGCTCCCTAAGAAATGAGTTCCAGAAAAATTGTGTGTACCCGAGCTATATTTTCATAGGCAATTTCAGAGGTGTATTTCTAGAGTAAACAAGAAATTCCCATAGCCTTGTAAGAAGTCCTTAAGAAAGGACAACTTTTAATATAGTTAACAGATTAAAAACCTTTTAATAAAATATAAACAACCATCAGCAATCAATAATATACAATACTGAAAATACCATATTGTATAGTATTATGAGCTAGCAGTGAAGAGAGAAGTTTTTTCTTACCTAAAAGATAATTTAGGACCTTCTCTTGGTAACCAAAAATGAATTTCAAATACAATTTTTCAGACACGTTTCATATTTCATGGTGATACCACAAGTGTCTAACCTTTCATCTTTGTTGCTGTGATCAGCTTACTAAGCCTCCAGCCCTCTTATTTTCTCATTTGTAAGTCGATGTGGACAGATTATAAAATCCTTTCCAATTTTTAGTGTTGGATGATTTGAAGCATTGATTCTATAAGTCAGGCTTCCCACTCCCCTTTGGCTAAAAAGAGTATTGTCCCAGTTGCTTTGTTCACACTCACTGGAGTAAGGGGAGTAAGATCGAGGCATTGGAATAGATTCTGGTCTGTCCCCATTTCCTTTTAGGGGCATCAGCTCTAGGAGTCTCCCCTTTGTTCCACACAAGAAGATTTTTTAATAAAGACCTCCGTCGACAAACAAAATCAGAGAGATTTTTCTAAACCGGCCAAGGAGAAGAGTTTAATATCCCACTAGCTCAGGGTTCTTTCCTCTCCATCACTCAGCTCCTCCCAGCCATATCCCGACAGGAAATACTCCTCTGAGCGCAGTAATAGAAGGAGGATCAATTTCTACCCCCGGGTACCTGAGGGGAATTTAGTCTGCATTATTCCATATTTCGACCGCCTCTTTAGCTTCTGGGCCCCAGCGGGACCGGAAACTGCCTGTCTGCTTGCTGCTTCTCTCTTGTGAAACTAATGATTCCATTGAAGCATTTTGTACTGGAGTTTTCTGGCCCCTGTGAACTGGGAGAGAAGGGCGCTGCCTTGTGCTGCCCATGGCCATGCATGTCAGGAGAGAAGCTAAAGAAAAAACGTCACTGTGTCTTTTTGTTTTAATTTTTAAAAATTCCTCTTGCATAACACAGGTTCTCTCACAAAGCATGAGCCGTCCCTCAGCAAGGGCGAATGGCGGAGGAAGCTGACTCCAGAGCAGTTCTATGTCACTCGAGAGAAAGGGACCGAACCGGTAAGCTCCCCGATGATAGTGTCGTGGCTGGGGGGGCTTGGAGGGGACCGGAGGGCGGGTTGGGATAGATGCAGCTGCAGAAGCCCACTCCCCTGCTTCCCCTCCTCCACTCTGGCCCTCCTGGTCTCCCTCTCAGGCACCGGGCTCCATCGCTTGTAGGAGACCCCGATGCCTCTTCTGCCTCCTCCGTAACCCTCCAGCTGCTCTGCTCCTCTCCCCTCTCGCTGTGGGGTGACCAAGGAGGGGCCCCTGGATGACTCAGGCAGTTCAGGGGTGAGGTGTTTGCCTTTGGCTCAGGTCATGATCCCGGGATCCTGGGCTCCCCCGTTTTGTGCCCTGTGTGCTCTCGCTCTCTCTTTCTCTCTTTCTGGGTCACGAAAGTAAAATCTTAGAAAAAAAAGGCAGAAGAGATCTAAAAAACACAAATCCAGCCACATCCCCCCATTGCTAACAATCCCTCAGGGGCTTCCCACACTTCCAAGGTAAAGAAGAAAGTTTACAAATGGCTTATTAGGCCCTGTAGGCTCTGCCCCCTGCCTTCTGCCCCTATCCTCAGTCTGGCTGTTTTTCTTTTTCTTCCCCACAGTTGGAGCATGCTGCCCTTCTTTCAGCTCTCAAACGCCCTGGGCTCCCTCCTCCCTAAGGCCCTCACCCCTGTGTCCTTCTTCTCTCCTCTCACCTCTCCCCTCAGTCCCAATCCCATGGGCTCAGGGAAGCCTTTTCTTGGCCCCGAGCTGGGCTTGCTTTTCCCAGCACTTTCCCTTCAGAGCACTTGCCGTTGCAGGGACGGCTCTGGCACCGCGCATGGTGCCCTGCTAGAGCCGGCGCGCAGAGAGGACGTTTCTGTGGATACTGAGTGAGGGCCGGCTGGGAGGCGCAAACGATATTTAAACGCCATTCAAGAAGCTCAGCTTCCGTTCCTTTCTAGAGGGAATTGCCCTGAGTGGTTCCTCATTTTAGTTCTGTTTTCCTAGCGCAGCTTCTTCACAAGTCATCTGTCTTAGACCCAAATATAACCATTGGAATGGAGCCGCTGAGCGCTGTTACTAGACGTTCTGCTTGGTGAAGCGGGCCCCATGCAGTGGGCCACAGCGGTTTGGCAAAGCTGTAGAGAATTTATCTTTTCTTTCGCAGTCCCCGCAAAGTTCAGACCGTGTGCACGTGGCCCTGTCATCACGGCGCACCCTCAGCTTCTCTGATGCTAACGTTAGGCCGGCAGATCCCCCAGATTCTTGAAAAGGACTGGTCTTTTTCCAAACCTCCCGTGGGTTGGATTTTCATGACGCTTCATAGGGAAAGAGACACAGTCACTACCGCAGGTGGTTGGGGGCCACGTGTGAGGCTCCGTGTGCAGTACACAGAGTACCCCCAGCAGATTTAAACCAGCCCCTTCCCAGGGACACAACCCGGCGGGGTTTGGTATATGTACAGAGCCTGGAGATGAGCTGACAGATGTTGAGGAGAATAAGTCTGTGGGATTCTCAAACAGATGGTGCAGTGCACTCTGCGTGTTTGCCATCTTACAGAATGAGCATCATCCGTTATTTTAAGTAATGTTATAATCCCTTTTCAGTTGGTCCGTGTCCACATGTAACTTTCTAGAATGGTGCCGAACCCACTGTAAGCCTGGCTACCATAAGGGGAGTAACACATCTCAGTTTTCTATTTGGTAACTCAACCTTGAGAATTCAGTTGCACACGTTTTGGTCAGGCAGCATGCGCACTCTGCTAGACACCACAAAGGCGTTTATAGCCTCGCTGCGCAACAGCTCAAAGTCACGTATCGGTAGAAGGCAGGTTTCCTGCAGGCCTTCCTCTGTGCGCCCCACAGATCTGCTCTCCACATGCTTCGCTCTGCTCTGGGCTCCGGGAAGAATAACATGCCCCCTTCCCTCTGACTACTGCTCGAGCTTGGCCAGAGGATGATGTTAGCACGGTCAGAGGACACGGCAGGGAAATTGGGACCCAGGGTCCTCTAGTGCAGGCTGTAGCTCCCGCCGGCCGACAGGCTCTGGTAACTGCCCCTCTCTTCGTCCCACGGGCCTCGTAGGTGGGTGTTCTCAGAGCCCCTGGCCCTCCCAGTGCTTCGTCCTCCCTTGCCCTGTCCGCACCTTTGTAAATCGTTCTGTATGAAATTATCTGCAAATCACCTCTTTGAGTGTACCGTCTGTTTCCAGCAGGTACGTTGTACTGACTGGGTCAGAGGAGGGAGAAGCCCCATTGGTCCAGGCAGACTGCCTTTGGGCCACTGTAGCCCGACGGAAGGGCTTAAACAGCAGACGTTTATGTATAACTACATACATATATTTCTCACAGTTCTGGAGGCTGAGAAGTCTAAAATTAAGGTGCTGGCCAGTTCACTTCTGGTTTCTCCCCCGACCTCTGTAACATTAGCTCCCAGACCAGCACTGGGTACGTACTAGGTTTTCAAGTAAATATGAGAATGAACAATTGAGATAGAAGTTGAGTTTGGCTCTAAACAAATGACAGGACTTCCACAGAACTGAGGGAGGAGGAGGGAGACATTAGGAAATTAGGAGGCCGTGAAAAGATGTCACTTCATGAAATTCCTCAGCTAAGGATTACTTTTTATTTATTTATTTTTTTACTGTGATACCTGTCGCCTATTACTTCCTCTGTCCGTCCGTCCCCTGCAATGACCAAATTATATTTTGAGTTTTGTCAGACTGTCTGCATCCTAGGAGTAGACTTTCCAGACCAGCTTCAGGACGGGTAGCCCTTTGACACATGAGTCCCGTTAGCCCAGGTTCCCACCTGGGAACTGGTGGAACTTTGTGGTGGATGCCGATTTGTGCCAAGGTTGGAAGGCGCCATCAAGGAAACAAGCCATAAAAAGACCAGCTTACACTGTTCAGATTTCTGCAGCTAAGTTTAGAGTCTTTAAAGAGGGAAAACGTCCAAGTGTGCCCAGATGGTAGGCTCAGTGGGTTATTTTGAAATTGTCCATTATACGGCTCACTGAAAATGTGCTGTTAATATTACCACAGGGAATGTGAATGTTTGACCTGTGAATCTGTTGAGTTGGGAAATCTAGAAAGGTCAGAAGAGTCCAGCTCATTCCTTAAGTCAGTTCTGTGACTTGGTGACCCATTCTGTGCCTTGGCTTCTCTTTCATCCCCTAAAATGGGATAGGGCTTGCCAGCAGGTTGTGGATCTTCTGTGGGTGGCTTGTATCAGAGGTTTGTTGCTGTTGAGGGGTTTTGTTTTTTTTTTCCTTTTAATTTACTTTAACAGAAGGAATTGGGCAAGAAGGTCTCTGTTTCTTTCTTTCTTTCTTTTTTTTTTTTTTTAACAATGAAATCCAGGGCGCCTGGGTGGCTCAGTGGGTTAAAGCCGCTGCCTTCGGCTCAGGTCATGATCTCAGGGTCCTGGGATCGAGCCCCGCATCAGACTCTCTGCTCAGCAGGAAGCCTGCTTCCCCCTCTCTCTCTGCCTGCCTCTCTGCCTACTTGTGATCGCTGCCTGTCAAATAAATAAAATAAAATAAATCTTAAAAAGAAAAAACAATGAAATCCAGTGTTCAGGATAGCATTTTGAAAGGTATTGACTTGGCAGATTCATTGCTTCAAGTCTCCTGTGTTTTTTGGGGAGACCTTTGAAAACTTACAAACTCTTTAAGCCACAGTTAATGAGATAATTTCATCTAAGTAGTAGCTTCAGTACTGGGATAATCTAACTAATTATTTAAACATTTATTAACTATGTCGTGGCACGTTAAAGGCACAACCGTGAGCCCACAGAGCTATCCATTTTATGTATTTATATTCTATCTTTAATTGGAGATTTCACAGTGTTTTAGACAGTGGACTGGATTCCTATTGTATTAACTCCTTTGAGATGAGGACTGAAATTTTACACAATCCAGAGGAGTGTTCTCTCACTTTTCCATGGACTTTGATGTTCTTGGATGAAAGGTGCTATATAAATGCAAAGCATTAGTAATGTCATAATTTGAATTTTTGGCCCCATAAAGGCTGGGTTGTGATAAGCCTGCAAGGCTGCTTCATTGGGCGGGTTATAATTTCCTCTCCAGTGATATTTGGACTTTGTCAAATTAGTACAAAAATTCCTTTATTTGGGGACCGAATCTTGGATTTAAATCTGCCGTATCATCTCCTGCTGGTGTTATGAGAAGCCTACACCTGATCTGTCTAATTTACTTTCAGCCTTTCAGTGGAGCCTATCTGAATAACAAGGAGTCAGGAATGTATCACTGTGTATGCTGTGACAGCCCACTCTTCAGGTAAGGCTCGAGAGAGGTACTGGAGGAGAAGAGACCTCCAGATTTCTTACAGCTCTGTCTCATTCAAAGCCTTGGATAAATACACACCCGTGTTATTTTTAATTGCCCTCCGCATTTGGCATGGTTGCTCTAAGGAGAGCTATTTCTATAAAGTTCTTGCCCCTCTTGATTATTTCCAGCATTTAGAGCAGTTGAGACTTCTTAGCCTATATTCTTTCTTCCTGTTTCCCCGAGAAATAGCAAACAAATAAAACTTCATAAGCACCTTAAGATAATGCTATTAGAATATTTTCCTGGGAAAGTATTTAAAGAAATCTAAACCATGATTGTATTTGCTTGGCCATGTGATTAAAACTATATCTCTCTGAGGGAAAATGGGTTTATAATTTAATTTGGGAAATGTAGAATTTTATGAGGATAGATTCCCCACAGTGCTTGACAGTAGTGAATACCATGCCCTCTTCTGTATAGCTAAAAGTAAATTTAATTGTCCCTTGATTTCAAAGCCTCTTTTAAGTCAATCAGGATCTGAAATCTCTCAACAAAGGCTTTTTTGTTTAGACATGCAGGAAACAGTCTAAAAAATGTAGATTCGATGAAGAAGAAAGGAAAACATCTTTGAAGTCCTGTTTTCAGAACTTCAAAGATATTTTCCTTTCTTCTGCATCAACTCTAAATTGGTTTAGAATAAAATATAAATCAAGCCAGCTCTGTGAATCTTCCATTAGGCAGTGCTTCATTATGTCCTCTGGGCTTTGAGCAGACCGGGCTTTCTTGGGCTGCTGGCCGCTAATGGAGGCCGAATTTGGAAAACCAGACCCCACCTGCAAGGATGGGAAACAATTAGGATTGATTTCCCCTCGTGCCTAAGGAAGGGCAGGTCTTTGGTCAGATTCATTCACTGTATCAGTGGCTGGTGTGGAGACATCTAAGATAGCTGTTGGCCCAGGATGGCCTGGGGAAAACTAAGAGAAGCAGCTTAATCTTAACATAGTAAAATGTGGGACACATATTTCTGAGACATTAGCTATTCCTTGGCCTTTGGTTCTGTTGAGGAGGAGAAACAGGACCTTGAGATGGCCAACCTGCTTTTTGTCAAAAAAAGGCGTATAATGTGAAGATGTAAAGGACCGCCTTGTCACACTGTGGTAACCAGACAGATGTTCTTTCCTATCTTTGGACTGTGAAAACAGAAGATGAGAAGTCATTCTTGTAAGAGCATCCTTCTACTTAGCATTCTTCATTTTTCCACGTCGTTGGTGTTCTGGTTTCTACACTGGCAAAGTTGAGACCTTTTCCTACCCAGTGCCCACCATCCCCTCACCACAGCGGCCAGTCATGGAATCACAGAATGTTGGAGCAGGGTGGGACCTGAGACCAGAGCACAAAGCTCTGTCCAGTGGAAATTTCTATGATCATGGAAATGTTCTATATCTGCTCTATCCAATATGGTAGCCACATGTGGCTCTTGAGCACTCAAAATGTTGCTTGAAGGTGAATCTTTAATTTTACCTAATTTTAACTAATTTGAACCCAAAAGCCCACATGTGACCAGTGGCTACTGTATTAGCACAAGGCTAGTCCAAAGTAAGGAAATTGAGTGACCATCCGCAGGTCACTGAGATAGTGAAGCAGTCAAGACTAACAGGAGAACCAGCCGATTCTCCAAAAGTCGACTAAAGACCGGTATACTGAGCTGCCAGTTCACCAGCCTTATTTGTTTCTTTTTTTAATCATTTAGTTTCAGTTGAAAAGTTTCTATTTTCTTTTCTTAGGGACTGTGGTATAAGTTTCTGTTCCATTTTCCTGCTGCTACTGCTGCTGCTCTGAGACTGGGAGATATAAGAATATATTTATAAGAATCTTCTATGTCCCAGAACAAACTCTTCTTAAAGATGCATTTGTTTATAGGACAGACAATATAGTAGAGTGGCTAGGGTGCTTGGGTGTACCTGGCCCCATTGCTGTGTGACCTTGGGCAAGTCTCTTAACCGGTCCATGACTTGATTTCCTCACCTGGAACGTGGCAGTATGGTAGCAGTACTGACTTCAGCAGGCTGTTGAGAGGATCAGCCAAGTTCTGAGGTAACACGTGCAGAAGCACCCGAGCCGGTCCTGGCACATGCCAAGCACTCAGTACATGAGAGCAACCATTCTTAGAGGGAGAGCCTTCTTTGGGCCATCTGTATGAATCAGTCTTTGATAATGAGGAATTCTTGCGAATATGTGCCAGTTAATGAGAATCTGTAAGTGGAGATTATATTCCTGAGCATGCTTCCCATTCAAGAGGGTAGTCTTAGGAATATTTTCCTGTTTTGCCTCTCATTTCCCATCCCCTCCCACCCATCCCCAGTGTCCAGCCTTAATAATAGCGAGCAGGGGTGGAAAAAAAAAATAAACATCCCTACAAATGCTTGTATAGGTAGAGTCAAAATGAGGCGAAAAGTTGGTCAACCAAGAGTCTAATAGATGTGGGACCACTGCCTCTGGGCTGTTAGGCCCCCTGCTGCGCCCAACGACGCTGCCTTCACAACAGGACCACCATGGTGCGTGTTCCGGGAGACACGCCTCCTCTCCACACCAGAGGCCTCTGAGCCAAGGTTTCAGGACAGGAACACTCGTAGGATGTCATCACTCCCCTGGGGACTCCAGACTGTTGCTTTACTAACCTTGGAATCATGTGGCTTTGCCCCTGCTTCCTGTGTTCCCCCTTTCTTCTCCCCCCCCCACCCCTGTATACCAGCTCTGGAAGTATTTATTAAAATCGACTGTGGGTCCACATCTTTCATGCTCCTGCCTGTCTTTAGAATAGAGGGGATCTGAGAGCCTGATGATGTTCCTCGCCTTTTACATAACCCCTGGCTGTCCCACATGTTATAAGAAACCAAGTAATATCGGTGAGAAACTTCTTCTGTGTTCCCATTCCTCCAAATGAATGGAAATTCTTCTAAGACGTTAGAGGTGTCAGGTCTCACCAGGTGCCTGTGTTGTTGGTTCAGGGGCTGTGGAATTTCCAGAAATGAAGCAAAACCAAAGCAAATAACCATAGAACAAACATGCAAACACATAACACAAATACACGTAACAAAAAAACTAAAAAAATACCTTTCTGAAAAGAGATGATGCAGTATGGTTTTAGTTTTTCAAGGGAGAGCCTTATAATCTGCTAATCATTTAAATATTTATATTAGAACTTCAAACTGGCCTGAAAGTTAGATCTCCACTCTTGAATTGTGTGATGGGCCTCTCATATTACCTGGTAAAATCTCCATATTCTGTATATTACATCAATAAAGATTTATTGTTTCCCATAAACATTTTAGATGACTTTTTATTAGTCTTAGATTCATTCATTAAAAAATTTATTCATAATTCTCCATCAAAATGCCTTTAATCATCACTAGCTACATGTAACATTAAGGGGTGGAAAGGCTGTGATTAAAAGATACTTAAAATGTTTTTCCCTGGGCTAGGGTGGCTCAGATGAATAGTTTTGAACTCTTTCAAAAAGGTTCCAAAAAAATTGGACCCACAGCTGCTCAAATTTCATGGATATCTGTTATTAATAGTAATGATTTTTTAAAAAAATGTAGCTACTGACTTACATACCATACGTCTGACACTGCTAAGTGTACCATACCTAGAAAGTTTGTCAGGTAATCCTCTGAGCAGACTTGTAAGGTAATAAGGCCATTAATGTTCTATCCATTAGCGCACTGAGGCTTTAAAAGATTAAATAACTTGCCCAGGTCACACGGATGTATCAGAGCCTGGAGTCATGCCCCAGCCTTTCAGAAGTCAAGGCCCTTACTCCTCCAAGTTCTAAAATCCTGGTCTGGGACCCCGGGAGTTCCTGGGACCTTTCTAGGGGATCTACAAGGCCCTCTCTTTTCTAAGTGGGTGCCTGTGAGGCCACGTCCTCTTTCTATACTTGAATCAAAATAAGATTGCAGCAGACTGAATGCAGAAGCACATATGAAGTCAGTTGTCTTTTCTTTTTTAAGCTAGGCGTTACAGAGATTTGCAGAATTGTAAAACAATGCAACTCTTCGTTTTGAAAAAAATAATTTACCAGGTAATGAATTTATTATTTTTTAAAAATAACAACATGGAAATATTTTTAAATTGTTATAATTTCTAATTTGTTAAGCATTGATCTACATAATTCATGTAAAGGAAAGAAGTCCTCAGTAATTTTTTTAGTGTACAGCAGTCTTGAGATGAAAATGTTTGAGAATGACTGCATCACACTAGACTTTCTGCTGGGATTTGTGCTCTAAATCAGGCTTTCTTCTGTGTTCTTAGCCTCTGGATTTGAGTATTTGCTACTCTTCCTTCTCTTTGCCCAGCTTTTTGGAGGTTTTTTTTGGGGGGGGTTGTTTTTTTGTTTTTGTTTTTGCAGAGTTTACAATGCATTTCTCTCCGTCTTCCTTAGAGAAAGAACTGTCTCCCTGCCATTAAAAAGCTTTCACTCTTTTTTCCTAGTGCCTTTTAAGGGAGCTCCCCTTCAGAGCACTTGGAGAGTAGGTCTGTGGCGAGTGGATTCGCTTGTTGCTCTTCCACTCCTCCTGTCGGCCCCCCTGGCCCTCTCCCACCTCAGCATCATGAGCTCCTGTGGGACTTGCCCAGAAGGGTCCCTGCACTGCCGCGACTGGCTCAGATGCCCCGGCTTCTTGACTAAGGATCATTGTGCACGTTCACGGGCACTTACCTTGTGCCCACAGAGTATCTCTGTAAATCCTCAAGACATCTCCCTAACATGGGTCCTTTCAGCCCCGTGCTACAGATGAGGCCTGGAGCGGATACAGAGCTTGCCCAGTGTCGCCCAGCTAAGAAAAGGCAGAGGCAGCTTTGGAATCCCCGCAGGCAGGCAGGTAGCCCGAAAGGCCCACTGCTGACAGGGGGCGTTTCATCAGGCCTCCCGCTGCTGGGCCCAGACCTTCATGCCCTCCTGTGACCACGAGTGTCACATTTCCGTTTCCCCCTTTCCTACGTGTGGAGCCCTTGGATTTGATCTGGGTTTCCTAACATGCATCACAGGTCACAAAGACCCTAGTGTTTCTCGGTCCCTGTCAGACATGGAGAGAGAAGCCTTCAGCATCAAAGGAACAAGAGGTCCTTTGACGACGGTGAAACGTGTTTGGTCGTGAAAGTGCAGTGGACACAGTTCCCATGAACGGACCGCTGCTGTGACTGGCCTGGAGACCTGGCAGAGGAGACAGGGGAGCAGACCCTGCTGGGTGGAAAAAGGAGCTGGGGCATAAAATGCTCTTTGTGTGTTAATCACGTCTCGGCAGCTGCAGGGTCCGAATGTCTTCCACAGTTCCGACCGCAAGTACTGCTCCGGCTCCGGGTGGCCTGCGTTTTCCGAGGCGCACGGGGCGTCTGGCTCTGATGAAAGGGACGCGAGCATCCTGAGGCGTGTGGACACCTCGTTAGGATTAACTCGCACCGAGGTTGTGTGCAAGCAGGTGGGGGTTTTTTGTGTTGTTTTGTCTGTTTGGTTTTTCCCAGTGCTGCCCCGGCCCAGGCGTCACAGAGAGCCTATGTGGTTAAAACATGGGAGTACCTTTGTCACTCCCAACACGCCGGGTTTCTGCGCTTGCTGCTTCTGACCCCTCTCTCCGTGATTCTGGGCACTGTCAGGAAGAGAAAGAACCTTCCGGAGCCACTGTGAGGTAGCCTCTCCCAGTTCTAGCCTAGGAATTGTATTAATGCTTTACATGCATCGTATCAAGGAATCATCACAACTGCTTTATTAAGTAGTGTAATTGTTAGTTCCCATGTTATAGATGAATAAATCAAGGCCTAAGTTAAATACCTTGCTCGCGTTCTCACTGATAGCTATTTACCGCTATCATGCCTTGAATTCTCTCACTTCTTTTTTTTAAAGATGTATTTATTTATTTGAGAGAGAGAATGTACACTCGCCTGACAGTGAGAGTGGAGAGAGGGAAAGAATCCCAAGCAGACTCACCACTGAGTGGGGAGCCGACGTGGGGCTTGGTCTTGGGACCCATGTGATCATGACCTGAGCCAGAACTGAGTTGGGCACTCAACCGACTGAGCCACCAGGCGCCCCTGCATTCTTTCCTTTCCTACGTGCATTCTGCTGGGATGGACTTTTCCCCACACAGACACCGGACTGGGGCGGCCACGTGGGGTTCACCTGTCTAGTTTCACATAAAGAACTTTGTCTTGGTGGAGAAATGACAGAGGCTTCTCTCCTTTGCAGTGCGAAGCCCACCTTGGCCACGTGTTTCCTGACGGACCTGGGCCTAATGGTCAGAGGTTTTGCATCAACAGTGTGGCCCTGAAGTTCAAACCAAGGAGACACTGACCGTCTCCAAGAATCCCTTTCTGTCACCACTGCTTCATTTACACCCTCAATTTTCAGTTTATGTTGAATGACTTGTTTTATTTACTACCAAAGTAGTAAATAAGCTGGCACCAAGCAAGTCCCCACTTCTGTAATTGATTAGCCTGGAATCAACCCAACCCCAATTTCAGCTTGGAGGGTGGAATTCCATAGAATGACCGAGGGGCATCCATTTCCATCCAGTTGACTTCTGTCGGCTTTGCCTGGGACCAAAGGGCATGACTCTTTGGGGACAGTAAGAAACTAATGGACTACAAACCAGAAATTCCTACAAAACTACCCAGAACTTTCCATGCGCTAAGTCCTTTGTGGACATATGTAGGTGAGGGATCAAGAGAAAAGAGGAAGGAAATACGGGATTAGAATAATCAACAATCCCAGCATTGAAAGAAGTACCGAGGACTCGGACTGTGGAAGAGCGGCATTTGGGAGGCATACATGGTGATCAATGGGATGCGTGGTTCTTCTTCAAAATTTTAGAATGTCTTGAACATTCTGATTCATCCTTTCTACTGGCAAATAAGTTCCAAGGAGAATTTGTTAGATTTCAGTGATAACAAGTAAAAGTAGCTACAAAGTTAAGCTTGAACATGTTCAAATAAAATATTTAGTAAAATTTTATGTGTGCTTTTTGTCTGAGTCTGTGAAGTTGCTCTTTTATAAAAACAACACTGTGGGGTGCCTGGGTGGCTCAGTTGGTTAAGTGTCTGCCTTCAGCTCAGGTCATGATCCTAGCATCCTAGGATCTAGTCCTGCATTGTTCTCCCTCTTTCTTTGCCCTGCTCCTGCTCACTCTATCTTGTTCTCTCTCAAATAAATAAAATCTTTTAAAACCTGGAATTTTTTTTTTAAGATTTTTATTTATTTGACAGAGATCACAAGTAGGCAGAGCGGCAGGCAGAGAGAGAGAGAGCAGGAAACAGGCTCCCTGCTGAGCAGAGGTCCTGATGCAGGGCTCGATCCCAGGACCTTGAGATCATGACCTGAGCTGAAGGCAGAGGCTTAACCCACTGAGCCACACAGGCACCCCAAAACCTGGAATATTTTTTAAAAATATAAAGCAAATACCAAAAAAAAAAAAATTAGATTACATGGCAGTAGGCATTTAGTTATACCAACACTAGTAAGAACTCAACTGTTTCACAGATTGAGAGTCTTGAATAATTTGTTATTGAAAGTGTCTAAATTATTTGAGACATAATAGAAAGGAAACTTAATTATTCCATTTTTTTCTCCTTACTAGCTTGTCATGCATTATGCAGCTCTTCTTTTAGTGGTTACCTTGGAAATAACAACATGCCTCCCAAACCTGTCACCGTCGTATAAAAATTATCACTTTTTGCTACTTCTCCAAAGATGCTAATCTCAGAACACTTTAACCCCATTAACAGCCTTCCATATTTTGTGTTACTATCCCTATGTATTTAATTTTACACATGTCTTAGTCCCCACAACTCATTATTAATTTATATGTCAATATTTATTTATATTTACCTACATTTTTGCCCTTTTTGTTCTTCCGTATTTCTTCCTGAAATCCTATGTTTCCCTGTGGGATTATTTTCTTCTGCTTGAAGAACTCCTTTTTGTTTTAGTTCATGATTCCTAGTGATGGATCTTCTGGTTTTTGTTGGCTGAGAAATATATTTATTCTCCTTTGAAATGTTTAACGCTTTGTTGAGGAAAAGTTGACATACAAAAAGTTGCACATATTTAATGTATACATTTTGATGAGTTTTGTCTCCTTTCATTTTAGAAGTGTTATTTTCCCTAGGTACAGAATTCTAACTTAGGGAACTTTTTTTTTTTTTTTTTTAAAGCAAAAATCAAACAAAGCTTCATTTCACGCCAAGCATCAAAATCAAACTGACCGGTCAGGGCTGTCTCTTATAACTTAGGAAACTTTTATTTCAGCATTTTTTTAAAGTTGTGTTCCATTGTCTTTGGCTTCTATCATTTTGTCTGAGAAATCAGTTCTAAGTGCTGTTGTTGCTCCTTTGAAAGCAGCTAAACCCAAACCCCAGCTATTTTTATGAATTTCTCTTTTGATTTTCAGCAGTTTACGTTGTGCCCTGTTGTGGTTGTCTTTATATTTATTGTGCTTGGGGTTCACAGAGTTCTTTGAATCTTAGCTTGATACGTTTCATTAGTTTTGGAAAATTCGATTATTCTCTCTTCACTGTTGCTTTTTCCCCTGACCTCAAATTATAGACCATTTATTGCATTCCCACATAGCTCTAAGATTCTTTACTGAATTTTCCCATTCTTTTAAATTTCTGTACTTCAGTTTGGATATTTTTTGTCAACATACTCTCTAACTTACCAGTCTTATCCTAGCAAAAACTCATCTAGTCTGCTTTCATTTATTATTTATTTATTTGTATTTGTTTGTTTGTTTGAGAGAGAGAGCCCATGAGTGGGGCAGGGGGATGTGAAGGGGAGAGGGAGAGAGAGAATTCCAAGTAGACTCCCTAGTACCGAGTGCAGAGCCTGACACGGAGCTTGATCGGATGACCCTGAGATCATGACCTGGACCAAAATCAAGAGTTAGACGCTCAAGCCACCCAGGTGCCCCATCTACTTTTAAACACATCTTATGAGGTCTTAATTTTAAGTGTTACACCTTTTTTAGTCCTAAAATAACAATTTCTTTTTTATGCATTCCAATTCTCTGTTGAAGTTCTTTGACTTCAACAGAGAAGAGTAGGTGTATTTCCCCCCATATTTTTAGTCTTTGTTCTTGAACACATTAAGCATAATTTTAAAAGCCCTTGTTAGTCAACTTCACTCTCTGGATCACTCATGGGTATATTCTTTTTCTTTGGATTTTTAGTCATATGTTCTTGCCTTTTGAAATGTCTGGTAGTGGGCTCTCATTCATCTCAGAATCAATCCTCCAGACTTAAGAGGGTGGAGAAAAGGGCCATTCAGAAATACTGACTAATCAGAAAGGTTCCTTTGTCCCATTTAGTGACCACCTCTATAGCAATTCTTGCCATGGTAGTATGCCTGATTTCAGGAGGGCTTGCCACAAAAGCCATTAAGTTTTCACTCTAACCATGTTTTCATTCAAGAAAGACCTCCACTTTCTGGAGGCTTCTGCCATTTCAACCAAGTACCAATTATGTAAGCACTCTTTCACTGAGGCACTGAAAATGCACATGGAGGAATAATAGGTATTTAATAGAATATGATTTTCATCTACTTTCCAAACATGGTTTTCTTTGGCCACAGAAGAGAATATTAATAATTTTTTACTGGATTGGCAATTTTATAGATTAACCTCATATGCTATAATTGTAGTTCTACCTCTCACCATCAAATTAGCACCCGTACACACAGGGTTAAAAAAAAAAAAAAGCTATAGTCAGAAGTTGAAACCAATGACTTGGTTGAGTAGAGTCATGGCTGATGAAATGATCACTAGATTATATGTTGGTGGGTTGCTTACACCTCTGTTCCTCTATCTTAGCGGCAACAAGAAAAAGCCCAGAACATTCCACAAGTGACTGGTTTGACTTACATCTTAAGATGGAAAGAATATCAAATTACTGGAGCAAAATGATTAAATTGTAGTCTTGTGTTAAAAAATGAAATATTAAGTAATGTATTAACTACAGCGCCACAATGCAATTCTGATGCTAACCACCCAGGGTGTGGGGCACAGTCCCCAACAAGGCTCCTCTTGTGCCCATTGTCAGCTGCAAGTTTAAGGGTCCCTAGGTTACTTGCACTTCTGACCAACTAGCTACAAATTCAGAGGTCTCCTATGACCTCCTTCAGGTTCAGTAATTCACTAAAATGACTCACAAAACTCAGGAAAGTGCTATACTTATTAGTACAGTTTTATTCTAAAGGATACAAATCAAGACCAGTCAGTGAAGAAACACCTAGCATGAGGTTCCAGCACGGAGATTCTGTGCCCTCTCCCTTGGAATCGGGTTGCATCACCCCCACAGCAAATGGATAGGCTCAGCAACCGGGATGCTCACCAGAGCTTCAGTGCTCAGTTTTTACTGGAATTTCATTACATTTGCAAGGTTGATTGAATCATGTGCATGAACTCAATTCCCATTCCTGCTTCCCTACCCAGAGGTAGGGAGGTCGGGATGATATCACAGGGCTCAAAGCCACAATCCTTTAATTGTGTGGTTGGTCTTACCATCATGGCCAGCCCCCATCCAGGTCATCTGCTTAGCATAAACTTGGGTATGATCCAGTGGTCCTTCACGAATAAGAAAGAGAGTCTTACCACTAAGGAGTGTCCAAGGGTTTAAAAGCACTATTTCAGAGACCCAGAATAAGAATGACAAATTCACTATTATATATGACATTTAAGAAATAACAATACATATCAAATAGTATAGGATATTGTTAATACTATATGCATAGCCTTAAATGCTTTTCTTTTTTATAAAAGAAAGTAAGTGAAGTAAAAGATTCATTAAAAGAAGTTAGACCTGGGTGGTTCAGTGGGTTAAAGCCTCAGCCTTCGGCTCAGGTCATGATCCCAGTGTCCTGGGATTGAGGCCCAAGTCGGGCTCTCCGCTCAGTGGGGAGCCTGCTTCCTCCTCTCTCTCTGCCTGCCTCTCTGCTTACTTGTGATCTCTGTTTGTCAAATAAATAAATAAAATCTTAAAAAAAAGAAGTTAGAAAAAAGAATAAGGTAATCTTAATAGATACCTTAACAGGATAAAGAAATGACAAATTAAGAGGAGATAATGAATTAGGAGAGAACTAAAACATCAGACAATAGAGTCTCTGAAAAACAACAATATAGAACAAACTTCTAGTAGCTTTAAACAAGAAGAAAGAATAATCCATCTGAACTAAAATAGAAATAACGGGTATAAAAACAGATACAGGAAATTTTTAAATTGTTAACATATGCTCTGTAGAGTTCAACTGAGAAATACAGATGAAACGTGTGGATTTTTTTTTTCATTGAAATATAGTTGATGTACACGATTAACATCACTTCAGGAATATAGCAGTGGTTTGACAATCGCATACGTTACAAAATGCTCACCAAGGTTAAGTGCAGTTACCATCTGCCACG